ATAAATATTGCTGATTTATCTATAAAAATTATCAAGTAAAGTCGATCAATCCTGGAAAAATCTTTTTTCAAACAATATTTTCTACTACTATTTTTTTTTTTTTCTGCTTGAATAAATAAATTATTTTTATTTTTACATCTTGATATAGCCATGTATAATTAACCATGAGAAATAAAGGTTTCCTTAAATATAAACTCACAGTGTCGAAACTTTGACCTTGGGATTTGTTTATAGTCGTAGCAAATGCCTCAGTGATTGGAAATTTCTTACGATACAAAATAAAAGTTCAAGTTGAGATGTTTTCTGTGTTTGAAGTTTATCTTGGAATAGAGACTCTATTTTTAGATTTTACATTAGTAATTATTTTGTCTGCCATATTATACTATTCTTAATCGTGTTCCATGACATTACCCATCTAATATACTTTTATTTTTAAGTAACTTTACTATTGTACTATTTTTTAAGTTTAGTTCATTAGGTGCTAATCCATTGCCAATATTACTTCGAATTTCCTCCGAAAAATGTATATAAATATCGTCGTCCAATTTATCAACTCTTTGATAAATTACGTTATCTATACTGAAGTAAAATTTAGTTTCTCGAATTAATTTTTTAAGAAATTTATCATTTACTTAGCAGGTTTACTCGTTATGTGACATTAGTATGACACTATTCATTTCCTATAGGAGATTATACATGGTTCTACGTTAATTTTAAGGCAAATGTACTGGAAGCTTTTTTCATCCCTATAATACAAAATTTTTTCATGCTGTTTAAGAAATTTGTCGGAAATACATTGAAAGTTAATGTAACAACGATCAAAACAATTTCAACACATGTAATAAATTTAACGTCTGCAATGCAAAAATTCCAATAAATGGAGAACATTAACATAGTTTATCTTCCAATTCTAAAATTTAGTTAGTACATAAAATAACACTGTTTTCTTTATTATCAACAAAATCTTCAGTAGTATTTTTTATATTCATTTTGTATTTAACTACTTTGAATATTTTCCAGAATTAAAAACCATAAAAAAATTGTCTTTATTAATGAGGAAACCTAAAAATAATTGCTTCTCAAAAAGTATTATTGATTCGAGAATTACATGCATAAGTGGGCGTGTCGTATATGTATGTATACATGTATGTGTGTACATTTAATTCACGTATGTATATAAAAAAAATGTAGTTTCTTTAATTTGAATTTAGCACGCCTTATGCGCTCTCAAAAAATACAGTCT